GAGAGAGAGAGAGGGAGAGAGAGAGAGAGAGAGAGAGAGAGAGAGAGAGATGGGCAACATATATACACTAGTGCCGGTTGTGGGTTTTGTAACACCCTTATCTTTAGGATGAGAAACAAAAGCAATTGCCAGATACTACAGAATATGTGTTTCTTTAACTCCCAATGTGTCCTATTATTAAGCAATGTGGCTTATTAATAAAATTGATATTGTTCATAATTCTTTAATGCTGAGACTACTATGCATAAATGTATGTAATTCAGTAATAAATTAGATAAAGGTGGGGCAAAAGCTATATTGCCATCAATCGAGCCTGAATGTGATGCCAGTGTAGGCGAAAAGTCTTTTTTTTTTTTAAGATTTTTTTTCAGATTTTTAAAATTTGAATTACAAACAAGATTGTTTTACATGACAATCCCAGTTCCCTTCTCCCTCCAGTCGTCGTCCTCCCCAACCACCCCCCCAACTAAAACCTTACCTATCACATATCCTTTCTGCTCCCCCTGGATGGCAAGGGCTTCCATAGGGTGTCATCAGAGTCTATTGTATCCTTTGGGCCTAGGCCCACTCCCATGTGTCTTGGCTCAGGGAGTATCTATCCCTCTAAGTGGAATGGGCTCCCAAAGTCCACACCTATGCTAGGGGGTAAGTACTGAACTACTACAGGAGGTCCTATAGATTTCTGAGGTTTCCTCAATGAAACCCATGTTCCTGGGGTCTGGATCAGTCCCATGCTGGTATCTCAGCTATCAGTCTGGGGAGCAAGAGTTACCCGATGTTCAGGTCAGTTGTTTCTGTGGGTTTCACCAGCCTGGTCTGGACCCCTTTGGTCTTCTCTCGTCCATGTATGCCTCTCTTAGGGTCCTCCTTGTTTACTAGCTTCTCTGGCAGTGTGGATTGTAGGCTGGTAATCCTTTACTCTATGTCTAAATCCATATATGAGCGAGCACATATCATGTTTGTCTTTTTGTGATTGGGTTGCCTTGCTCAGAATGGTTTCTTCTAGTTCCATCCATTTTCCTGCAAATTTCAAGATTCCATTGGAAAACAGTCTTTTCAATTTACATATTTTATAAAATGTGGACTGAGGAAATAATAAACATATTGCTAAAGTTATTTTTTATTTATTTTGTATTTTATAACTCTGTCTAATATTTTGCTAATGACAGTTCTCCTAAAAGTCTAGGGGGAAAAACCTGTTAGAATAGGCACTTTCATCACCTGAGTACTGTATATATTTTAGATTTCTGAGGTAGGTGAGTTTCCACAATATTAACTTTCCCCCTTGTTTCTTATTGTTGTCTGGTTGGTTTTGCTTCTGACAGGGTCTCATTTATCCCAGACTGGCTTCAAACTCATGTAGAAAGGGCTGATCTTGAATCCCTAATTCTCTTGCTTTCACTTTGCATATGCTATGATTACAGGCATATGTCACCATGCCAGCTACTTTTCACTAGGACTCAGTTCAAATACAATTTTAGAAAAGTAACTTAAAAAAAAACTACCAAATGCAGTTGTCTTTTTCTTTTGTAAAAATTTAAAATTTAGCAAACCCTTTATATTTGAGTCAAAATATTTAACCTGATGCTTTCTCCTGTGGAATTACCTCTGCAATTCTGTGTCACTGTGTACTGTGATTCTGTCATTCTTTACTCTGGACAACCATGTGCCTACACGGGCCTCCAGTCTTTGCCTCTGATGTTTATAAATTCTACAGTGGTTTCTTTCCAATAATAATGGAGTATGTGTGTCATAGTTTGACTTAGGAACCTCATTATTATAACAACTGAAATACTAGTCTTACCAGACTTGAGGGCACTTAACTCTGAGAACATTTTCATTGAGATAGATTTTTAATGTAATTTTTGTATACCAAACTCCAAACACCCATGGATGATGTTTAACACAAGCTAATCTTGGACCAGCTTTTTTCCTTGTATTACAGTGAAAATCCAGTGTTTTGTTAAACCATGCCATTTATTCATTTTCTTAAATGAACTGTTGACTGACAGGCTAACTTCCTTTTTTCCCCTCTGGATTTTAGAGTGTGGCCAAGTTCACAGAGTTTGAATTGAAGGCTTATGCCAAAGCAGGATCTATTGCTGAGGAAGTCATTTCATCTATTCGAACAGTGGCTGCTTTTGGTGGTGAGAATAAAGAGTTGGAAAGGTTGGTTATTTTGAACATCTATTGGTTTCCTGAATTTCATAAGTCAATACAGTTTCTTATTTTTTCTTCATCTTGTACAAAGTGGCATATTCACTATCATTTAGAGAAACATGAGGGGACATTTGTTTTTCAAGAGTTGGGTCAACAAACATTTATGGCCAGAGTGCCTTAAAAACTCTAAAGCAATGTTTCCTGTTTTCATTTTCCCTTGTGGATCTTGCCATGGACTGGGGTAGTCTTGAGCTCATGGTCACCTAAGTATTAGAATGAAAGGTGTGTGCACCACACCCAGTTCAATATACTTTTGGAGATGGTTTTTAGAGAGTTGAGATAGTCAAGAAACTTGTTTCAGACTCTGATCATGTAGAAATGTATATATACTTCATGTCAGCCTTCAACAGCAACAGCATGTTCTGTCGTTGAAGAAAAACCTACACAGCACAGAAATGCAAAAAAAAAAAAAAAAAAAAAAGAGCAAATGATACCACACCACACTGAAAAGCTCGCAGGCACAAAGGAAACACCTCACAGAAAAGACAGCCATCAGAAAGGGTGAAGCTGTATGTAAACTGTGCATCTGACAAGCGACTGGAAGACAGAGCATGTAAGAAGCTTTAAAGAACGTACTAGTAAGATAGTGATGAATCCATCTTGAAAATGAGCAACTGAGTTAAGTAGACAGCTTGCAGGAAGACACACAGTCAATTCTGTGAAAACAGTGTCATCTCCCCAAGCAGTTATCAGGGAAACACAACTCAAAACTAGTCCACAATACTACCTCACCCTCATAAGAATAACTGTTGGCAAAAAGGCTAAATATAACAAGGCCAGTGAGGATATGAAACAAATGGAAACTTTGTACACTGTTGGTAAAATTACAAACTAGTAGATCTATTATGTAAAACAGCAAGGAAGTTCCTCAGTAAAGTAAAACGAGAACTTATATGATCAAACAATCCTACTGCTAAGAACATATCCCTCCCCCAATGAAATCAGTATGTATAAGAGATAACTGCATAGTGTATTTATTGTAGTGGTGTTCATAAGAGCTAAGAAATAGAAACAACCTTAGTGTCTATTCGTTGATAAGTGCATAAAGAAAATGCAGTACATATATGCAGTGAGACACAATTTGGTTATAAAAACACAAAATTTTGTTATGTGTAACAACGTGCATAGTCAAGTGAAAGATTTACACAATTGCACTTTATATACATGTGGAATCTAAAAGTGTTGCTAACAAAGAAGTTAAGAGTAGAATAATGGCTGTCAGAAACTGGACAGAGCAACAGAGAGAGATGGGTACACATTACAGTGTGTGTCCATGCATCAAAGCATCACATTTGATCCCATCACTATACACAATGCTCTTATTAGAAAAAAATAATTTAATTTACATTTTCAAAGACTAAGGGAGCCTGACACAGTGACTCATGCCTTTTATCCAGCACAAAGGAAGCTGAGGCAGGATGATGTTTGCATCTATTAAAATTGGTTATTCATCTATTGAGGGAGAAGGAAGGAGGAAGGGAAGGAAGGAGGGAAGGAAGGAAGGAGGAAGGGAAGGGAAGGAAGGAAGGAGGGAAGGAAGGACAGAAGGAAAGAAGGAGGGAGGGAAGGAAGGGAAGGAGGGAGGGAAGGAAGGGAAGGAGGGAAGGAAGGAAGAAATGACAGCATGATGCAAAATGCAATTCCACTCTTTTCATTTTAAAAATAATTTTTAAAAGATTTATTTATTATATACAGTGTTCTGCCTGCATGTTTCCCTGCACTCCAGATCTCATTACAGATGGTTGTGAATCACCATGTGGTTGCTGGGAATTAAACTTAGGACCTTTGGGAGAGCAGCCAGTGCTCTTAACCACTGAGCCATCTGTGCAGCTCACTTTTTCATTTTTTAAGATTATATTTTATTTATTGTATGGGGAAGAAGGGAGGTGTGGACTCAGGGCAGGAGTCAGGTCTCCCCATCCACTATGTGGGTTCTGGTGAGCAAATGTGGGTCCTTGGACTGGGGTCCTTTACTCACTGGGTCATCTGGACAGCCTCATAACATTTTTTAATTGAACTTATTTTATGAAGCTACTGTGCTGATAAATGCTTTTAATAACTTTTATATTTTTTCATTCAACCAAACAAAGATTAACACTGATAAATTATGACAAATCATTCTAGGGATTAATTTTTAATGAAAGTAAAAATTTAATTTGCCAAAATGATGTTGTTGTCAAAAATATGATTTTATAGCCAGGTGGTGGCGGCATAAACCTTTAATCCCAGCATTTTGTAGACAGAGGCAGGTAGGTCTCTGAATTCAAGGTCAGCCTGGTCTATACAGCAAGTTTCAGGGCAGCCAGAGCTACACAGAGAAAGCCTGTCCTGGAAAAAAAGATTTTATTTATTCTTATGATTTAGTTAATATATTTTGAGCTTTTTGATTATTTGTTTGTTTGCTTGTTTTTTTGAGACACAGTCTCACTAAGTAGTCCTGGCTGATCTGAAACTAACCATGTGACTAGTCCAACCTGTTGATTTGGAGATAATTATTGCCTTATTTTCTGATAGAAACCTGATTATATATATTCCAAGGAAACACTTTAAACATAAATACTAATAGATGCCAAACAAAGATATTTGTAAAAAAACATTGTTTTCTCTTGGGGCCAAGACTATCCCCACTGTTCCTCATCCAAGCTGTGACTAACTTAAGTAGCTTTTTGGGGGGTGACCATAATCACTGGATAAAATTCCACATCATGACCCATCTTAAACATTACACCTGGAGCTGCTCCAGCTGGCATTGATTCAAACCTTTTCTGTTTACAGGTATGAGAAAAATCTTGTGTTTGCCCAGCGCTGGGGAATTAGAAAAGGAATGGTGATGGGATTCTTTACCGGATACATGTGGTGCATCATTTTTTTTTGTTATGCGCTGGCCTTCTGGTACGGCTCCACACTAGTCCTGGATGAAGAAGAGTACACACCAGGGACACTAGTCCAGGTACTTTGGTCTTGTTTCCTATATACGGTATTTCTTGCTAGTTTATCAGAAAAGTTGCCATTGTGGCCAAAAGGATTATTGCTTTAACGTCCCAGGCGGGAAAGCCTTGGTGGTTTGCTGAAGCCCATATTCAGGAACCAACAATATTAGGACACTTTAGGGAAGAGAGATTGATTGATGACCAGCAATTTAATGGTTCCCAATTAACTAAAGATTTTTACGGCTGTGTAACAATGACTCTCCAGCTGACCCTGAAAGACAATATGCCATAGAAATGGGAAACCATTGACCTATCAGCTACAAATGATCAGGCCATACATCTGAAGATAGTAACAGTACAAGGTATGTGCCCACATGCTATGTTTGTGTTTGTGGTGGGTTATTAACAAATCAAGTCAGCAACATTTTCAACTGAGTAAATGATACAAGCACATTTCATAATTCATTTGTGGGACGTCATGCCATCATGAATGTTATAGCTACTTTAACTCACACTGTCCTTTCAGTTAGTCACTCTACAAGCATTGACAGGAATCTGCTGTATGCCTGATTCATCCAAAGCACAGTGGACAGAAAAAAAATGTGGTTCTTTTTGTCCCATTTGGAAAGATAAGGACTAGTTAACCAATTATGTAAGTGTATGATGGCAGTGATGCGGACTATAACACAGAGAATAGGGAGCATTGATAGTATGTATCAGGGTCACCAAAAATGTCTGGGACAGAAAAGAATGTTCTTGTTGCCCTGCCCAATGCCTTTCTTCCTTACTTTACCACCTCTGAAGGTGGCAACTGACTGCCTGCCCTTTCCCAGCCAGGCCTTGCACACTCATCTAGTCTTGCACACTCTAATCTTGAGTTCTCTTTACAGCCTCTATACTTTTCCTTTGGATAGCTTGTGTGTTGGGAAACCTTTGCATCTATCCTTACCCTTTCTGTCCTCAGACAGTAAGGTCTATGAGGTTCATGAGTAGGGGTGTGTGCTTTCTTTTTCATTGCTATGGTGATGGAAATAGCTTCATGGAAGATTTTTAAATATAATGTTTCAGCTGCAGATTCTGGATGGAGCAGGCACCAACTGAACAAGGAAAAGTACCAGGAGTTCACTACATGAAATTTTGTCATTCAAGATCCACTGTTTATTACAAACACACACCCCCAGGGGAAACTAGAGAGCAATTTGCATTGTCAGGGAAGATGATCATCCAATGCCAGTCATTCTGAGCAAAATAATGAAGCAATAGAGTGTTTTAAAGTTGTTTAGTGTTTGAAGAATGGATAGCTGGCATAGCTTTGAACTTTATTTAAAAATACTGAGTCTGGTAACACACATTCAAGTATTACATAAATTTTGAAAGATAGTATGGAAAGTGCTAATATTATCATAATTTGCTATTCTCCCTGCAACTTAGATCTATTTTTGCACAGTGGGAAAATTAAGGTATTGTAGATCTGAAATGTGACTCTAGAGTTCCTTATTGATCCTACAGCTTCTGAAAGCTTTAGGCATTTAGGCTGGTGAGAATGGATCAGTGGGTAAAGGCTCTTCCTGAAAATCATGGCAATATGAGTTCAATTCCCCAAGACTCACAAGGGAGGAAACTGACTCAGGCAAGCCATCCTCCGATCTCCACACCTGCACTGTGGCAAGCATGAAGCCTCAAGTGAACAAATAAATAAGTGTAATTAAAATCATTGAAAATCTTTATGTAGACAGAAGTTCTGATCCACTAGACTTGCAGCTGTTTAGTCCCTAATAAACACACAGAGGCTTATATGATTATAAACTCTTCTTATTGGCTAGCTCTCTCTTAATTATTAACCCATTTCTATGAATCTATGTATCTCCATGCAGTCTTGGCTTACCAGTGATGCCCAGGTCTCTTTCTTCCTCAGTAGCTGCATGGCATCTCTCTTGAGACTCACTCTCTGCATTCCTCTTTCCAGAATTCTCCTAATCTGGTAGCCCCACCTATACTTCCTGCCTGGCTACATCCTGCCTGTGCATTGACTAAAACAGCTCTGTTCACCAACCAATAATAGAAATGAATATTCACAGCACACAGAAGGACAACCCCCATCAGCTTTATGCTATACATTTACCAATCAAAGGTGCCAATAGCCAAACTCAGTGCTGGCTGTTCACTTTGCAGAAACACACTCACTGAGTAAAGCTGTTCTTTTGTTCTGTGCCTATGAGAAGAGAGGGGAATTCAGTAATAAAAGTTCAGAGGAGAAATGTATTAGTATATTGAAAATTAAGTATCCACAAACTCAACTGAAAGATCCGAGGATCCGAGTAAAATTCCCTGTGTGTCATAGCTTCAATTGTCAACTTTTCAAATCTGGAAAAGGTGCCTCAATTGAGAAATTGCATTCATCAGATTGGCCTGTGGGCATGTGTGTAGGTCATGGTTTTGACTCATATCTTTGATTGCTAGTTGGTGTCTTAGGGTCCCAACCACTGTGGGTGGTGCCATCCCTAGGCAGGTGGTCCTGGGCTGTATAAGAAAGCAAGCTAAGTAAGTCATAGGAAGCAAGTCAGTGACCAGTTCCTCTGTGGTCTCTGTTTCTGCTCCTGCCTCTGGTTCTTTCCTTGGTTCTCTTCAATAACAGTCTCTGACTTGTAAGTCAAGTAAACCCTTTTCTCTCCCCCCTTCCCCCGACTGCTTTTGGTTATGGTGTGTATCACAACAGCAGGAAAGCAAATAGAACACTTTAGTAACTGTTTGAGCTACTTTTCAACTTTTGTGAAGAGGTACCACGACTAAGGCAGCTTATAGAAGAAAGAGTTTATTGGGGGATTTCAGTTTCAGAGATTGAGTCCATGACTGACATGATGGGGAACTTGGGAGCATGCAAGCAGGCATGGCACTATGGTGGTAGCTGAGAGCTTACATCTTGTTCTGCATGCATGAGGAGGGAGGGAAGGAGGGAGGGACAGACACACACACACACACACACACACACACACACACACACACACACACAGAGAGAGAGAGAGAGAGAGAGAGAGAGAGAGAGAGAGAGAGAGAGAGAGAGAGAGAGAAGACTAACTGGGAAATGGCATGGGCTTTTCAAATCTCAAAGCCCACTCCTAGTGACACACTTCCTTCAACAACGCCATACCTCCTAATCCTTCCCAAACTGTTCCACCAACTGGAGAGCAAGCATTCAAATATAGGAGCCTGTGACGACATTCTCATTCAACCACCACAGCAACTAGTTTCTAGTTTTATGGCTGTCATTTCTAAGTTTCCTGGCATGAGATGACCATGAGATCATCTATCATGTGTGTTCATCCTGTCACCCATATGTGACAAGTAGCCAGAGGAAGCTATGAATGTGGCCCCCAAAATTTCTAAGCTTACTTAAAATATTGAGATGAGGGGGAGAGCACATTTTACTTTGTGACTTGATTGTATGACTTTCAGATGGCAGCATTGGTTGGACAAACCTGCTAGACCTTCCCTAGGAAGTCACCATTTCAGTGGACAATTTTTTAAATACTATGTATGTATCTCTAATGTTTTAATCATCAATTATCATAGTCTCAACTTCCTATAGTCTTCTGGTTATACCTTGCCTTGATAAGTGTATCTTTATAAAGAAAACAAAATCTTCCTTTAATGATTCTCTTTCTCTCTCTCATCATGTATATGTGTGTACCAGAGAGATAGAGAGGGAGAGAGAGAGACAGAGAGAGAGAGAGAGAAAGAGAGAGATCTTGGCTATACTTCTACAGAGCAAATGTAGAAGTATATGAATATGAAAGTTGAATACTATTGAATTGTTTTAACATACTAACCCAACAAGCAGATTAATCTAGCATATTGTGGTGCACAAAATTAATATGCCTTCATTGGGTTGGAAACAGGAAGCAGTTAACAGATTACTGTAATTAGTATCATTTGTGTATAGACAAAAACATGCTCTCTGGTCTATTAGGGAAAGACGAAGAACTGAATGAGGGTGAAGTCTTGGTTTTTCAATTAGGGTTCAGGTTTCAATAATAAAGAATAATAACAGTAACAGAAAATAATATTCACTCAGTGTGTATAAAGCAATAGGCTTTATATATACTGAGTGAGATGTTTAATGTAATTTCCATAAATAATATGCACAACCCCATTCTGTGATTGGCATCATGATTCTACCACTACAAAAATGAAAGTTGTCCGTGCAGTTAAGAAATATGAGCCAAGTGGCACAGAGTATGATGAGCTCAGGTCTCAGTGACTATAGGCCTGGCCCAATAGCCAATTTTTCTTTCTCCAGATCTATGTTGTAAGGAACACAGACTCCAATTCCCTACAAGGGTGCCCCAGGTATTGCCTGCCTCCTATAGTCTCTCTTCTTACCTTCCTATGCACATGGCTAAAGCTATGATATTTCTAATGAAAACTTCAGCCTGGGATGTGTGCTCTCTACTATAGTCTTACTGGACATGTGTCTTGTCTTCTCTCACTCATGGCTTCTCTAAGAACCTCCATGGGGAAAATTGTTTGAGGCAACAGCTTATAATGCCAGGCTAAGCAAGGGTTTGACCCCTAGTTTTCAATAGAAGATTCCAATTACTCAGTAAAATAGTCATTGAGCCAAATACAGTCCCTACCTGTTTTTTTAAAAAAATAAATACACTTTATTGGGACTTAGCCATGGTCATTTATTTACACATTGCTGAGCTTGTTATGTACTATATGGTGTTGTATACATGTGGGTTCCAAACCCATCTGGCCTGAAGAACCTGAGGTATTTACTAGAGGGTTTTTACAGAATGTGTTTGCTGGTCCCAGATCCTGGGTACAAGATCTCCTTTGCTGAGGTGGGGGCTCTCTGGAGAGGATGGTCTTAAAACAGTTTAGATTAAAGCTATTCTTCTCAGCTTGCTTGCACTACTCCCTCAGTCCTTCTACTCTGCAAGAGAGTGATGCTCACTATGGAGACATGCTTTACAAAGCAAAAAACAGTTTATATATCTCTGAAAAGCCTGCAAACTGCTCAACTTTAAATCTTTCTGAGAAATCTCAGTAATTCACAAGGATGCTCCAAATGGTAAATGGCATTGTTTACAAACTGGCAAAAATGTATGAACACTATGTTTTTCTTTTCATTTCAGATTTTCCTCTGTGTCTTAGTAGCAGCTATGAATTTTGGCAATGCGTCTTCTTCCTTGGAGGTCTTTGCCACCGGACGGTCAGCAGCTGCCAGCATTTTTCAAACAATAGACAGGGTGCGTAAAAGCCAAAAGAAATAGGTAGTGAGGTATGTACTGCACAGTTTCTAAAAGCTGGGAACCCATCTGTAAGTTAGAACAAATTAAGTTCCTGCTCTCACACTCATACTAGAAGATATATGCAAAGAAACAAGATTATTTGAGACAGGGTCTTACAGTGTTGTCCTGGTTGGTCTGGTGCTTGCTACATAGACCTAGTTATAAGAGCTACCTACCTCAGGCTTGTGTGTGCTGAGGTTAAAGGCATGAGCCACCACACCCAGTGAGAAATAAACATTTAAAGATAGCATCAGATAGTGCTAAATCCAATAAGAGAGACAAAATAGGACTAAGTGTTTTGACTGGTTAGTGGGAGGAATCTTTAAATGGGGTTCATGGCATGTAAGAGCAAAGAAAGATTTCCTGGTTGAGAAACTGGCAGGTTGGGAAAGACCTCGATGAGCTCAAGAAGTTAAGAAAGTCCAGTGTGAATGAACACAGTAATCCAGGGCAATGCTGGAGGGATGGATGGAAAAGGCCTTAAGATCAGGTTCATGAGGACATAATAATGTAAATTGTACTTTGCTTCCGATCATCTCAGTAATATAAATATGTGTAATATAATACAACACTGACTGTACTAACATCATATATTACATGTCAATGAAACAATTTATTATCATATTATGTATTAGTAATATATGAGCTTATAGTAGTAATTCAACAAGCAATAGTAATTAGATAAACAAAACTTACTCTCTGCTATTCTATCAATATCACATTCAACAATAATATATAGCAATATAATAGTAATTCAGCAATCTCAACAGCAGTGACTAGTATCATCACTATTGTAAATATGGTATATGGAAGCAACTTATCTTTAGCATATCTCTGCAATATTTTTCCCAGATATAATTTTCTTTTTTAAAAAATTATTAGATTTATTCATTTTACTTTCCTTTGTATTTTGCCTGCATGTATGCATGTGCACAACATGCGTGCTTGATGCCTGTGAAACTCAAAAGAGAACATGAGATCCTCTGGAAATGGAGTTATAAGTGATTGTGAAGTACCTACCATGGGGCTGCTGGTAGTTGAGCCAGAGTCCTTTGTAAGAGCAGCAAGCGCTCTTAACCACCGATCCATGTCTCCAGCCCCAGTTTTACTTTGAGAGTTAACTGATCCTAAGATGGACACAAAATGCACATTGCATGCATTGTCATTTTATCTTTATATCACACTCCAGCAACCCACCATTGACTGCATGTCAGAAGAAGGATACAAGCTAGATAGAATCAAGGGTGAAATTGAGTTCCATAATGTGACCTTCCACTACCCTTCTAGACCAGAAGTGAAGGTGAGTGTTGACCTTTTGCCCAATGTGGATTATTATTATTATTTTATTATTATTATTCTATTATTATTATTATTATTATTATTATTATTATTATTATTATTATTATTGAGTAATTTACTTCCAAAGCCACACACTGATTTCTCAGTGCTGACTCAGTTTCCATGAAAAGAGGACAGAGATGTGTTTCTCTGGAAGTGTCCTTGTGTATTGTGCCAACTTAGGAGCACACTGCATTTCTAAGTGATGACTATACTGTGCAAATCCCTCTGGTGGGAGCACAGTCTAGCACAAGACTCAGGTTAAGTCAACCATGTGATCCTCTGTTGAAATGACTGGCAGATCCTGTCATTTTAGGTTTGTGCTAGGCAACCAAAGCAATCAAGTAGTACAGCTTCCAGTCACCACCTCCTTGGAAACCATAGAAGGTGGAGCACAGTGAGGGAGGAAGTGTGGCTGGCAGAACCAGCAGCTGTGAACAGTTTTGCCTTCTGTCTGTAGGTTTTCCAGGCTGCTCACTGCATTAGTCCTTGTAAGAAGGCTGCCTGCTGCTGTTGCTCTCGGGTATCTTGTGTTGAGTGATTATGCAGGGCACACAGTGAGGGAAATAGACTGCCTTCCAGAACCTATAGAGCAAGAGTGTTAGAGGTAACCCCACTCTGTAGGAAACTCCCATCTGCTCTCTTGAATGGACTGGCTTTGAAATGATGCTTGGTTTTCATCTGCAACTTAGCATCTCTGATTTCTGTTTATTGATAATATTTCTGTGATACTCAGAGAACTGAATCCTAACACTGGCATTTAGTCCTTGCCCTTGACAGAATTTTAGACCTAGCCTAGAAACACAACATACACATTTATTAGGCAAAGTTATTCAAGTAATGTACTCATATACCATTCAAGCATATCATCCGCAAATTGGTTTATTTCTGATCCTTGTTCTATGAATTATCATTACACTTGTGACTTACAGGAACTTCTTATTTAACTCATTGAGATTAACTCCTTGAGGTATCCGAGTATGTCAGATGTACTTTCAATTAGATTTTGAGGCATAATTTTAAAGGTGACCCTTGCTTATTTACCAGTGTTAATACATTATCATTTTATTGTTAGCCACAGCTATTAAGCGATGTGCTAATGGTAAAACCTTTTTCCAGACAGTCTTTTTTTTTTTGTTATTGATTGATAGCACCATGGGACATAAGTACACACACACACACTCACACACACACACACACACACACACACACACACACACACACACACACTGACACATGTGCAGGAGGTATAGATAAAATACACAAATCCTCACAAAGTATCTTATATATGGTCTAACTGCTTGGTTAAGTACTCAGTGACATTATGAACTTTAAAAAAGGTTCTTTCCTCTCTAGATTTTAAATAACCTCAACATGGTCATTAAACCCGGGGAAATGACAGCTCTGGTGGGATCTAGTGGATCTGGGAAGAGTACAGCACTACAGCTCATTCAGAGATTCTACGACCCCTGTGAAGGCATGGTGTGTATCTTCCAGAAACTTCACAACATGTCTGAGCAAGGGAATGCAAATGGTGATGTTGTCAAATTGATTTTTTTATTTAATATCATTTTGTTTTTCATATTTATAGTTTCAATTTCTTTGAGCAGCAAAGTGTTTTTTGATGAATCAGATTAGAAAGCAAGATAGACTGTAAAGCACACCTACAAGATAGCAGCTATTGCTTACTTTCATTCTATCTTTTGAAGTCCCTCTTTGGTCACAAGCCAAAAGACAATAAATGTATCCAGAGTGTGGTGAACAATGGGCTACTTTTCAGGGGAACTAAAAGTGTGCCCATTTTGGAGGCTAGCAATGAGAAATCTAGTGATTTTTTTTTTTTTTTACATCACCCGTGTTTCTACAATTTGAATTTTTTTATTTCAATTACATCCTTGTATAAACAGTCACATTTTCTTGGGAATTGTTTCTATTAGTCTTGTTAGTCTCTGGCTATTCTCCTCAGTGGTTATGTATCACCTAACATTGTGATTCAGAAGCTTGAAGAACTCTAAGCTGTGTGACCCTCTTCTGCTCTCCAGGTGACACTGGATGGCCACGACATTCGCTCTCTTAATATCCGGTGGTTGAGGGATCAGATTGGTATAGTGGAACAGGAGCCAGTTCTGTTCTCTACCACTATTGCAGAAAATATTCGTTATGGCAGAGAAGAAGCGACAATGGAAGACATAATTAAAGCTGCCAAGGAGGCCAATGCCTACAACTTCATTATGGCCCTGCCACAGGTACCCTCCTTATGGTCCAGGGGAACACAGAAGTCATCAGAGGAAGAATATATCCTTTTCATTTGAATTTTCAGTCCTTAAATCTTTTTTTTTAAAGATTTTATTTATTTATTTATTTATTTATTTATTTATTTATTTATTTATTATGTATACAACATTCTGCTTCCATGTATATCTGCACACCAGAAGAGGGCACCAGATCTCATTACAGATGGTTGTGAGCCACCATGTGGTTGCTGGGAATTGAACTCAGGGCCTCTGGAAGAGCAGTCTGTGCTCTTAACCTCTGAGCCATCTCTCCATCCCAGTCCTTAAATTTTCAATGGCATGCTCTCAATTTATGCCTGGAAATGTGCCACGTTTTCCCTTTCAAGTAAAAATATGTTGTTTATATAGTTGACATCTTCCAAACTGGAGATCTATTTTTCATAAAGATCCCTTTGATATAGATATAATTTCTTTGTCTACCTATTAAGCATGTGTTGAAAATTTTGCAATATTTACCATGAAGCAATGCTTGAGAAATGTTTTCTTACTTGTTAGCCACCCTTCAGTTACTGTGAGAAAATATCGGACATAAGCAAGTTACAAGGAAAAAATTAATTTGGACATATGATTTCAGTCAAAGATCAGCTGCTTCCTTTGTGGCAAGATAAAACATACTTGTGGCGAGTATGTAGCGGAACATAACAGCTCACCTCTCAGAAGCCAGGAAAAGAGAGAGAGAGAGAGAGCGAGAGAGAGAGAGAGAGAGAGAGAGAGAGAGAGAGAGAGAGAGAGAGAGAGAGGAGAAAGTTCGGAGTCCTGATGCCTCTCTCTTTCAAGGGTAGAGCCCTTCCTTCCATAGATTTTCATCCTAAAGGCTCTGCTGCCACAAAGTAGGACCAAATACTTGCCAAGAAGTAACTTCAGAAAGTATTGAAGGATTTATTCTAACAGTTTGAGGATACGGTCCAACATGGCAGGACGGTGTGGTGGCATGAACATGCCACAGATGTCACACATGTTTGTGGATAGGAAGCCAAGAGAGATGAATGCTGGTGCTGAGACGGCTGTTTGCTCTTTCAATCCCAGCCCCTGGGAGAGTGTTCATCTACATTCAGAGTGGCTCTCCTCTTTGTAGGTCACCTTTTCTGGAAATGCCCTCAAAATGGACGCAGAGGTGTGTCTCCTAGGTGGTATCAAATTCCATCAGGTTGGCAATGAACATTAGCCATTGCAGGGAACATTTAAGATCTAAATCATAACTACCACCGTCCTTATGCTTCAGTTTCCTTGTGCTTACACTTGTGCTTAGACTTGAATCTCACAAATCAAGAGTTCATTATTGTGTCTCCATTCTGTATGATCACCATGTCTTCGAAAACTAGCTCTATATGATATGCACTGTGTTTGCCATGAGGGTCTGCTAAGTCACAGGACAATCACTAATATTATATGCGTGGCTTTTACTACATTACAGGCTTTGTCCTGGCACTTCATATCTATTAGCTCTTAACCTTCACAACCACCTTGCCAGGTAGCAACTATTAGATCCATCTGCAGATGAATAATCCATCTGCAGGTCAATAACTGCCCTGAATTATACAATATATAAACAGGAAATTCACAGCAAGTGGTCTGGCTCCAGTGCACTGACCTTGAATATATCCCATTCACCCTCTGTGTTAGTCAGTGTTTTATTACTGTGAAGAGACACCATGACCACAGCAACTCTTATAAAGGAAAACATTTTACTGGAGCTGGCTTACAGTTCAGAGGTTTAGTCCATTATAGTCGTGGAGGGAAGCATGGTGACACACGGGCAGACATGATGCTGGAGAGGTAGCTGATCCATCTACATATGGATCCGAAGGCAGAAGGGAGAGAGAGAGAGCCACGGGACCTGAGTTGAGCTTCTGAAACCTCAAAGCCCACCCCCTGTGACATACTTCCTTCATTAAGGCCACACCTGCTCCAACAAGACCACACATCCCAATCCTTTTAAAGAGTGTCACTCCCTATGGGCCTATGGGTCCATTCATTCAAATCACTGCACCTTCTAAATCACCATTTCGAGTAGCATTATCATTATGAGAATGCTGTGGTTCAATGGCTGATGAAAATAAAGCTTTAGAATTACAGTACCTCAAGTTCAAACCATCTTCTCCACCTTCTAGCTTTATGAGCTTCTGTCAGTATTTCTTGGATCAACCATTAAGACAAGTAGCAGTACTTGCCTCCTGGGGTTCTGTGAGGATGACATGAGACAATATCTGTAGAATTTCAGTACCATGCTTTATGTGTGCTATGGAGCTCAACCCTTATTGCCCGATACTAAGAAAGTTATACTGACTTCTAACACTCCATTGTTAATTAATTGTAACATAGTCCTGTGGGCTACTCAGTCAGGACTTGCTGGGATAGCAAGGAGAATAAAACTAGTTTGATCTTTCATTCACAATATAAAGACGGCTTTAGCATCATGCTTTGCTGTGTGTTCAGCAGGAGAAAGGAGACCAGATTGTAATATGTGACTTAGTCCCCAGTGATAGATTTTTAAGACTGATCAATTTTCATTCTGGTTGAAAATGTTTATTTGAACATGGACTAAAAAGGAACAGTCACACAGTTCAATGCATTAACTATCTCACATGCAAGTATTGTTTGGTTAATTCATTTTGGAAAGGGATATTTTTTCAGTAAAAGTTGGACCTATAAAAATTCACACTTGAGAAAAAAGTTAGAAGGGATACTGGATCACTGTCAGGAGCCATCAAATTCTTCTCCCTCATGATTCCTAGCAATTTGACACTGTTGTTGGAGAAGGCGGAGGCCAGATAAGTGGTGGCCAGAAACAAAGGGTAGCCATCGCTCGAGCTCTCATACGGAATCCGAAGATCCTGCTTTTGGACATGGCTACCTCAGCACTGGACAATGAAAGTGAAGCTAGAGTACAAGGAGCATTGAATAAGGTTTGTGGAGAATCAGTTCATTTTACAGGCCCTTCAAGGAGGGAATGATACTAACAGGTCAGTACATCCATTCTGAAGATTTATAAAGTATTGGTCAATCACCATCTATTTCAAGTTGAATAGAACATAGTTGTGATTCATTCCCCAAAGATGCAATATGATATTAAAACTCATATTTAACATGATTTACCCCCCCCCGTTAAGTTATGGATTAATTGTCACAATCAGGTCAATCTGTGATATGATATATGGCTACAAGAAACAGTTGGCTATTTCTGGTATATGCTTAGGATGTTCCTAGTGTCCAACACTGACTACCTTGTAGACTCAGGGATGGTGTGAAGGTTGGTATTGGTTCTGTCTTCCAGTCTTGTTTAAGGGTACACCATTTCTTTTCACAGATTCAACATGAACACACAATTGTCTCAGTTGCCCATCGCCTATCAACAGTCAGAACTGCAAACGTGATCATTGGTTTGGAGCATGGAGCAGCTGTGGAAAGAGGCACCCATGAAGAACTGTTAAAAAGAAAAGGTGTCTACTTCATGCTTGTGACCCTGCAAAGCCAAGAAGATGAAGCCCCCAAAGAGAAGGGCATAAAGGGCAAGTACCTTTTCCCTTTCACCTTATACTATACTAATTAGTATCTATGGTATTGTGAATGTGTATTGCTTATTCTCCCAAAGCCCAGTAGGTGTTATGCAGTTGATGAGGGTAATAAATAAAACACAGATGGCCAAGTTATCTGATCAAGTCACAGAGCTCAACCCCAGGTCTTTTTATTTCAACTCTATTATTTTTCAAATAGGGCAGGCTTCCTGCATGTGTCAGGCATATGGAGGATTCTCATCATCATTGTGTGAATTAAACAATGAATAAATGTTTTACACTTATTTTCAAATGGAGATAGACATTCCAGGCCCTACTATGCTTTCTTTTTTCTCAATCTGAACTTTCAGACCTGGTGGTTATCCTAAGCTAATTAATCAACCACTCTTGACTTTCTCCACCATCTCCCATGTATTGCATATGTTTAACACCCATGAAATATGAGAAAGTTTTGAAAATTTGCAGATTGTAGCAATGTTTTTGCTTGTTTTTTGTTTGTTTTTGCCAACTCTAGTGAGTTTCCAATAATTTTTTAACAATTTATCCTAAAAGATACTATTGTATATAAAGAGAACAGTCAGCGCCCATTTCACACAAGTCAGCATCACTGAGCACTTTCAGGATTTTGGTGGTTGTTAGAATGTGTTGGGCAACTTTCAAGTTTTATTTATTGCAATAAGTTAGTAGGATGTTTGGGTATTCCATGCAGTAATTACCTTCTAGGCAAACAGTAAATTATTCTCCGTAAGTACGGCCATGCTTATTGTTGTTCTAAGGAGTGGCTTATGTTGTGGTAAACAGGAAAAGATGCAACCGGAGGTGATGCACTTGAGAGGACTTTTATCAGAGGGAGCTATCGGGATAGTTTAAGGTAAGCACAAGCCATGTGATTTTCAAGTTTTTGGATATTTTTAGGAGCCTTCTACAGTTGTGGTCCTTAGGCAATATCTCAGGTCCAAGAAGGAAACCCAATGCGACCTCAGGTCTTGTGATGTAAGAATATGCCAATTTGTTTAACTTGTCATCTCAGTCTGTTGAGTGAAGGGCCATGATGGAAGGCTCTCTGATTAAAATGTTTATTGAGCTTAGAATAGAGATTTTACTTGTTATTTTTTTTTAATTTTGTGTGTATGGGTATTTTGCCTGCATGTATTTTTGTCCACCATGTATGTGTTTGGTGCCTACAGAGGTCGGAAGAGGGAACTGTATCTCTTAGGACAGGAGTTACAAATGGTTGTGAACTATTATGTGGATGCTGGGAATTGAAACCTGGAGAGCAAGCAGTAGCTTTAAAAATCCCTCTTACTCACTGAGTCATCTTTCCAACTCCTAGAATAGGGATTTTTAAAGCTACTATGGTAACTTGGTACTGATATCCACATACTTGGGAGGCTGAGGCAGGAAGAGCATAAGTTCAAGGCTAGCTTGGACTACATCGTAAGACCCTACCTATCTCAGGAGAAAACATAAACAATTGCAAACAAATGAACTGCCAGACACCTAATCTTTCCCCACCAATCTTAACTCATTGAAACACTCTTATACGAAGGACATCTTCACCTCTGTTCTTTATATGGAGTGAGAGGCAACTGAATTACTAACACTTCCACTCCCAGAGTAATGAATTTAGACTCAAATCACTCCTTAACTGGATGGAATAAAATGCATGCTTTAGCTGTTAAAGAGGATGTCCTTAAATGCAATAATTATTTGCCTGTTTACATATATAACTATTCATTTTCAAAACATGTTTTGGAGTGTGCTATTAATGAGAATGTAAATCATCATTTTCATGTTGGTTTAAGAATTTTATTTAAGCCGGGCATTGGTGGTGCACACCTTTAATCCCAGCACTCGGGAGGTAGAGGCAGGTGGATCTCTGTGATTTCTAGGCCAGCCTGGTCTCCAGAGCGAGTGTCAGGATAGGCTCCAAAGCTACACAGAGAAACCCTGTCTCGAAAAACCAACTTCCCCCCCAAAAGAATTTTATTTAAAAGAAATTGGTGTTAAAAGTTATGTATTAAGAATTTTGTCCAGAAATATTTGTCTGTGTTCACAAAAATACTGTTAAAACATTTTCTCCTCCTTCAGTCAGAGAACTAGTAATAAGTTAGGGTTGATACATCTCTCTACCATTGGCCTCACCATTTCTAAGACATTAAATGAAAGACTGCTCAGAGCAAAGGCTCAGTATAGGACTTGCTCATTCTAGATGACTGCTTGTTTACTGAAAAGGAGTTAAAGCTGATTAAAATAGAACATTCTGACAACAACTTCACATACATAGTCAAAACAATTTTATTTATTGTTAACTTTAAAGGAATAATTTACTAAAAAGTATTTGTACCTATTACAAATACAGATTTTTTATACTAATATATTTTTTCTTTATAGATCTAAACTCTCAGACTTAGATTTTTTTTCCTCTTTAGAGCAAATCTACTGAAGAAAAATAAGTTAAAGAAGTGTTGGCTTTGTTGAGCTGGAAAACCAAGCATTATCTTTGAGTTACTCTATATAGTAGGAGATATAGATATTACCAGAATTGTTAGGCACATTTTATAGACATGTGGCACTGTTTGATCATGAGTAAAATACATCAATCACAGCTTGAAGGGAGCAACTACTTTCTTGAACACATTCAATGGCTGAGCACCTCTCTCTGTCACTGGGTTAGAATGACATGTATCTTGTGGTCATGTCATCCAGAAAGTAATGTTTTATTTATTTTTAAGAACAAAATTCTATCCATTATAAGTAGTTTATGATGAATAACATAACACTTTTCTATACAAGTGTCTCTATTTTGGCTACATTTCTCATAAGTTCTACAATTTAATGACTAGGACTAAAAAAAACAGAAAGAAAATCTGCATACAAAAAGTAGCTATTAACCTCCTGCAGAGAAAGATTTATAACTTTGAATAAGGAGCTCTATTAAAAATATCTCATTGTAAGGGGTGACAAGATTTTCTTCTAGAAGATGACTAAATGAAATGTTAATTTGTATCTTGTTTCTTGGGCTATAGTCTTTCTGATAGCTGAGCCTTTCTTTGGCAATATATTTTAGGTTCAAAAACAAGTTAATTGGCAACAGAAAATAATTTCCTAAATAATAATGATGAGAAAGAGAGAAATAGCACTTATCTCCCCAAATTAGCTGTTTCTCTTTGCAGTGAAAAGTGGTGTACAATTTTTGACAAAGTGAGGATTTCTTAAAGACATAATTTCTGAAAAAGGTCATGATGGAATCTTACAATAGTGTTTCTGATAAAACAGATTGAGGACCAGGTGGTAGGCAGAGTCCTTGCCCTGAACACTTACTGTTCATGGGCTCATAACAGTCCATTATGTTAAAGAGGTAGAAGGGTTTGAGGACTAGGAAAGAGGGAGATTTAAGAAGTACAAGATGAAGGTAGTAGAAACCTGAAGGAATTCACAGATAAGTCTTTCTACACCTGGAATTGGGTATTAAACACTCAATTAAATATTGACATTCTCTCTTTTCTCATATACTCCTGCCTTGGTGTTAACTGCTGTGAGTTTGATTAGATCTATGGCTTTCAGTTTCACCTATATTATATGCCTGTGATGCTCTACGACCACTCTGTGATCTCCAGGTGACACAGCCTTCTTCATAGTCTGGAGACGTCCCAGAATTAGTTACCTAATCCAAAGCACTAACTCTATATATGCATCTTCTATATATCACTCCGAGTCAGAGTAAGTTCAGTAACCCAGAGATGAGGCTGGGGACAGCGAATCAGGTTTCAGGAGCCCTTTGTTAATCATAATGAGACTTGGCCAGAGTTTGAATGTGCAAGATTAAAGAAGAGAGGTGACTTCTGGAAAGTGTTGAAGCCGGGTGACTAAGAAGGAGGCCATTCACATAGTGTGGGAAGAGATTAGCATAATGAAGTTGACATGTTACTGATTTTTTTTGCAAGCATGGATAAGCAGATGGTGACTGGCACTACCTTGGCATTTGTTTTAGTCTAATTTCCCCTGCATACAAATAATAGAGGACATTATTATTCTACCTAGGGTTGGAACAGTTGACATGGTCCCTCCCCTCTATTATCTCTCTCCTTACACTGTACTACTTCAAACTAAGTCTTCAAAATACAAATTTTACTATTCAGCCCACCAATTTTTTTTCCCTTACACTAGCTTTGATTACATGTAGTAGTCTCTGGGGTTTAAACTCCTTGAGAAAGATGTCTGTAATTTGGCTAGTCTCTATCTTCCCTCTAGCACCTAACATTGGATTTTTAGATGCTGTAGGGACCCAACACACTACAGATAAATGAACAATTGCATTAAGCGAAATTATATTTCAATAAGTTTTTGTTGATGCATTTATGTGGGCAGTCAAAATAAGTTTCATCAACTCTAACTTGGAAGCTCTTTAGCCTGGTTGCATGTGACCCACAAAACCTAGACAAAGTCCCACTGGGGATCCTAGTTTTCTTTTTGTTATCTCACTTGTATCCAGGTGGCATCACCCTGAAGTGCAGAAGGACAGGAAGGGGGAGAGGTGGGAGAGGAATAGGGAGAGAAATAGAGACATGGAGAGACATAGAGACAGACACACAAATTATAAACAGAGACTAGAAACTATAGCCTAAACCAGAAGGAAATACAAGTGCTAAACCATCACCTTTGTCATGGCAGTAACTGATAGAACCATGTGGGCTTCGAATACAGTTGAGTATCGGTAGTTTTTAGTAGGTTGATGGGAAACTGCTCCCTTCTCTCTCTCCCTCCCTGGTACACACTGAATCTGGACCCAGAAGGGACAGAGCTTGGGTGAGAGAAATCTACCCAATTTACTGTTACCCAAGATCAATTTCATCAAACTTTGCTTGGAAGCTCCCTGCCCTAGATGCCATGTGATCCACCAAACATTTCTGTTGATTTGGTGTGTGATGTAAACTAGGACACTAGTTTAACCCCACTGCAACCTGTTTGCCATCTACAGCCTGTCATGTCTTGCTGTTTTTTGTTTGTTTGTTTGTTTGTTTGTTTTTCCTAGAGCTTCCATCCGGCAACGCTCCAAGTCTCAGCTTTCTCAAATGACACATGACCCTCCATTGGCTACTACTGATCACAAATCTACTTATGAAGACAGCAAGGTCAGACACCCATTGCTCTAGGGAGGGTCTTGGGGCATGGGAGGAGTCTTTCCCAGGTGCCCCATCTATCTTTAGGTATATATGCTTACCAAGTGTATAGTCAGACCAAATAGGGGGACATTCAGACCTAGTCAAAATGGAGACTCCATACTTCACACACCCTCCCTCCCCTGCAAAGAACTTAGATTCACTAGTTAATTTCTTTGAAGAACATATATTAAGTTAAATGGAATTGTTAAGGGATAGCTACCAAGTTTTAGATGAATAATTATAACAAACAGAAAATATGCTTCTTAAGCATGCATAACAAATTATTTGTTTTTATGGAGGTAACTTTTTAACTTTTTAAAGAATACTCCAAGCCGGGCGGTGGTGGCACACAACTTTAATTCCAGCACTCGGGAGGCAGAGGCAGGCAGATCTCTGGAAGTTTGAGACCAGCCTGGTCTACATAGAGCTAGTTCCAGGACAGCCTCAAAAGCCACAGAGAAACCCTGTCTTGAAAAACAAAAACAAAAAACAAACAAAAAAAGAATACCCCAAATCATTTTTTTCTCAAAATTTAAAATTTCCTCTTAATTGGTGAAGGTACTTGATAAAACTTGATGTTAGACAAATTGTCACAAGTTTTAAATAAAAAGGTACACTCATGAGAATTCTGCTGTTGTAGACATTTATCTTTCTTATAAGGTACCATGCATCAAACCCCAAGTCTTTGCCACCCAGATGGACTCACCTTTGACCCCCTATATGCCCAGCATTAGAACTTCTTCATGGAACTCCTAGTTTTTGAAACCATTCTCTTTTCTCTTATTAAATTTTACTTCTTAGACTTCCTGACCCATTGCATCTGGGCTGAGTCACTACGGGCACTTTGTCCAGTGCCTTGTATCAAGAGGTTTTTGTTTGTTTGTTATTTGTTTTAACTGGAATGAAAATGTGAGTTTCTTTGACTAAAATGAAACTCAGACTTTTCTCTGTGTCAAATCAAATAAGCCAGGGAATATTTTAATTAAAAGTACATCCATTATGCATGATGTAATTTCAAAATGCCTTCAATGAAATCCCAACTTGTGAATCCATTAAGACATTGTTACAAACTCTGGCTCACAGAGGAGAAATTTGAGATAAATTCTTGAATGATACCCTTTAAGACCTTATGTGTTACTAAGGCTCTCTTCTGTCTTGCTCTATTAACATCAAATAGATGTGTCAATGTTGAATAAATTTGTTTTAATAAATTCCATAGACCCTTAACGAGGGAACACACATTTGTAAGGATGATTCCTGGCCATAAAGCCAGGATTCCTGGCTCCCCTTTTGGAGCCAGAATTAACTGTTTTGTTTATGTTCATGATACTAGGAAGAAAACAAATGACATCATTTAGATGTTGCTGGTACAACTTTTAAAAGATGCCATTTTATATTTTCTCTTGTAAAGGAGATGAAAATGAAAAACAGGAAAGAAGATGTTGAGAAGCTGATATTACATTGTTCAGGCTCCAAAAGGAAGCCATCTGTTGTTTCCCTGACACTTGTGTGTACAGTAACTTCATCAGTCCTTTGACTTGAAGAAAAATTTAAAGGAAACAGTATAGTTTGGCTAATGGAATTTCCATTTCATTCTTTTTTGACCAATCAATTTTTAATCCTAAGGAACTCTGTATGAGAAGGTGTGGCCTTGTTTTATTATTTTGAAATATTTTAACACTTAACTAAAGTCTACAAGGCCCATCAGGATTCTTGCTCTTTCTTATTCTGATGGAGAAGGCCACTGGCCTCACCTTCTGTAGAGTGGGAAACTTTCTGCTGTGTTGTGAAGGTCTTACTTCCATAAAGTGATTACCTCCATCTTGTGGTCTCTCCGGGTATTAACAGAACACGGAGAAGGGTTATTCTGAAGTTAGTGACAGAGCTAAGCTGGTTCTCCTCCTCCATGCTGTATCTTTAGTTCCCATAAATGGGACCAAATGGTAGATATCAGTCTCTAATATTTATTAATCTAAAAATAAATAGTTAAAAAGAAAGAAAAATGGAATGTATACGAATCAAGTCAGGATGAGTTTATTAGACAGTTGTAGCTTCATTACCACTGACTTACAAGATTTAGTTCTAGCTTAAGACATAGAACAGAGACAGGACTTGTAAAAATGGCTATCCATGCTCACTCGTCTGGGAAATCTTGGCTTCTTTGTTATATGTTCCATTTTATCATTAAACCTTAAAGACATCATCCAGATAGGAGACTCATATTTTTATAATACAGAAACTGCTGTAAAAAGTATAGAAAGAAGGACATAAAATTCCAATAGGAAGTTTTATCTTCCCCTGGCCCACACAGGAAATCAAAGAAAGAAAACTAGGAAAAGTCTGTTGAGCATGGGACTATCTATACAATAGGTCAGAGACCACTGTATCTCCTAGAATGACTTCAGTTAATTTCATAAAGTATAAAAGACCATATTATTTTTTATTCCTCTGTTGTTTATTTAGATACAACAAATAAAATAAGCCTTTGTCTGGGAACTGGCCTTCTAGTGTCTGAACTGCTCAAGTTGCTTTAGTAGAATTGGATATAACTTTCTTTTTCTTTTCCTTGTTTGGAGGGGGAATTTGCTTTGCTTTGTTTTTTGTTTTTTGTTTGTTTGTTTGTTTGTTTTTAATTTTGTTGAGACGGAGTTTCTCTGTGTAGCCCTGGCTGTCCTGGAACTCTATAGACTAGGCTAGCCTCCAACTCACAGAGATCTTCCTGGCTCTGCCTCCTGAGTGCTGGGATTAAAGGCGTGCACCACCATGCCTGGCAGATAAATTCTCAGTCGACTTCACTATCCCAGTGTGTGTGTGTGTGTGTGTGTGTGTGTGTGTGTGTGTGTGCATGTGCACACGTCTGGTAACAAAAATTATTCAAGTTAACTGTTTTTGTTTATTAGTTGGTCTTGAGATGAAAACTACAGGGCAAAGATATGTCATAGTTCCCTTAAATATCTCATTGCTTAAGGCTGGGTACTTTGCTACAAGAAAACCATTTTTTTTAGGCTATGAAAGAAGTAACCATCCTATGGGGTGGTAGTGGCATTACGGAACAGGTAGAATTCAGAGAATGTTAGCATGGCATTTATGAATCTGTGAGCATCGGGTCTGGACTATCAAAGCCTACAAAGGTTAGTTTTGCCATACTGAAATCCATCTCATTAGTCTGACACAATCCCAAGGGTGCTGGCAGACTCCACCACAGTCAGAGGTAAATAGCGAACTACTCAGAGCAGTAACAGTGTCTGCAGCTTGGCATTTTATACTGGTTCCCCAGCTCAATTCCCAGTTCCCCAAAGGAGACACCAAGGGGGCCAGATAATACCACCTTGAAGTAAATTGTGTGATAGATAGGAAAGGACTTACAAGCTTGGGGAGCCTGTCTTCTCCCTAGTGGGCAGATGGGCTGAATGCCCGGGGTAAAGGGAATAGCTATGCCTTCCAAGATTGTTGGCCAGACAAATATCCTCAAAAGACAATCTGAACAAAGGTAGTTAATGCCTGTGTGCAGAAATATGATTTATCCAACTCCCTCATTTTAGCAAAATAGCCAAGGCCCAGCAGGCTGAGTGCTCGACTGTATATTCTGTGGGAGGCCAGATAGGATTCTCCCAAGAATTCCATTCTTCCTCTGCCCGCTGCACCAGTTCTGATGACCTGAGTTAGTAGTCTGAGATGAAACAACTGAGCAGGAGGATTTGCTGCATGAGTGAGCAGCAGTGACAAAATGCAGTGTTGCAGGCAGCCAAGAGAGAACTCGAAAGGGAGACGATGACAAATTCATTACCAGCTCCAGCTGCAACTGTAGTGAGATGGCCATCACGCCAGCCTTCCATTTAAACTGAACTGGTAATATAGTCTTTGACTTTGTAAGAGAAGGGAAATGGTTTTTGGAGCTTTGTGCCATTTTCTGTTCCTGACATTTAGCTATCTGGAGGATAAATTAACTTGTACTAGTAAATAAGGGCATCCATGAATTATTTTGTAGAACTGTTTTTGTAGTCAATTTTGTACAGATATTTTTAGTATATTTTAACAGAAAAAGTTTAAAAATCAATATAAAGGTGTATAAGCCACCTAGAATCCTTTCTCAGAGTGGGTATTAAGTTTAACAAGTCATTGAATAAACAGACAAAAAGATGAAAAATAGAACAAGGTTCTCTACATAATGCTTGCCCTCAAGGGGATGAAAGTTACAAGCTGTGATATCTTAATAATAATTAAAAACATCAGAATGGGAAAGTCCTTACTAATTTGTATTCTCTGTGGGGGAAACATGCAGTTCAGAAATCCAGATCCAGTATTGCTGGTTTGTGAGCTCTCACTAGGGAAACCTTATTAACGCAAGTGCATGATCACTGAGAATTAAATATATCCACCTCAGATACACTGGCCTGTCCCAGAGCTTCAGCCAGTTACTAGCTTAAAGAACCTCATTTGGTATGTATGGAAAATGTACCTCAAAATAAGCTCTTAATGTGTAAACATATGTAGCAAGGTTGTTTTTAAAATGAGGAGTTACTTTCAAGACATAACATCAGTCAGTATGATATTGTGAGCACTATCAACGCACCATTTAGTGAGCATCCCCACCCCAGCCAGACCATAGTCCCAACCTATGCCAGTGACAAGTCACCACATCCCAGGAGTCTCTGAAGTCACTCATGACCAAAGGATATGAATATGTTTGAGTAACTGATGTAACTCTCTCTTTCCCTAAGGACAATGACGTGCTTATGGAAGGAGTTGAACCTTCCCCAGTTAGAAGGATTCTGAAATTCAACTTCCCAGAATGGCACTACATGCTGGTAGGATCTTTGAGTGCATGTATTAACGGGGCAGTCACACCCATCTACTCCTTTATATTCAGCCAGATCCTTGGGGTAAGCAAGCAACTGGGCTAACTTTATTCTGTTCATGCCTTCTGTCTTTAAATCACTGGCTAATGCTGTATCTGATCAAACACCTCTTGGCTTTAACATACTTAGCCTTTTTTTTGCTAACTCTCCTGCCTACCCCCAGCTCTAAAGGATGAAAAATGCAGAGTCTCCACCATACAGAAGATTCGAAGGTGACACTCTCATTTGGACTGGCAAGGGCTCTCAATCATTAAACCCATGAAAAATAAATAAATATAGCTACAGATTGGGGTTTGAAAGAGGGCAGCTTTCCTGTATGGAAAATGTGTTTGTGAAGTAATAATACAAAAGATTTTAGGGCAATTTTTAATTTGGCCCACGAAGCACAAAGCTTGACTTGAAGAGCAGGTGATAGTGTATCTTGTGTAAGTCTCTACTTTGTTAATGATTGCATTAAAATGGGGACGTGGGAGGAAGTAAGGGGGAAAACAATAAAGAAGTAAAAATACAGCAGGGAGAAAGAATATACTTATTTTAATTTTTCACTTCCTTGGAGTTTTGCTATTCTCCACTTGACTATTGCTATAGCAACAGTGGCAAACGCTTATTAGGCATCCTCTAAACACTTTGTGTTCATTATGTTTCCAAATAACCACTGGATGCCCAGATTCTCCTTTACTGCTGTTTTATAGAGGAGCAAACTATGGCTCAGAGAATTGAGGGGACAGAGCACATGGTGGAGTTGGGATTCGCATTCAGCCAGGGTGATGTAGAGCCAGGCTCTGTTTACACCTTAGTACCACAAAATTAATTGTTCAAAGGCTGTCATGTTCTCATAGTTCACACACATGTACACACTTACAGAGAGAGGGGGGAGAGGGAGAGAGAAGGGAGGAGAGGAAGAGGGGGGTGAGGGAGGGGGGAGGAGGGAGAGAGGAAGGCAGAGGGAGAGGGAATTCAACAAAGAGAAACCATATCCTTAAGAACACTGTTGACTTTCTCAAGGACTTGCCAGCACACCACACTGTCAGAGTGACACTTTGAAAAACTCACATTTTTGCTCCCTTCTACATCTCTCTCTGATAGAAACTAGGACCACAAAAAATAAATGGGTGTAACTTGTATAGAAAGACCTGAACGATCCACTAATAAAGTCTTCTAGGTAGAAATGTTGCTGGCCGTTTTTAATTACATTATTTTCAGGAAGTCAAGCAACTGGAAACACAGCTAGAGTTAGTTGAGTTTCTGGTTACATGGTGCCACAACCTTTCATGCTGAAAATCTTTTCAAATAACTAATGTGTATTTCTTAATTTTCTGGTAGGTACAGTATCTAAGTGTAAGCACACATTCTTTTATTCACCCAACAAGCATTTATTGATGGTCTTCCTTAGACATCATACTAGTGACTTGAGAAAACCATCACATTTATGACACTTTCTCCATGGAATTTCCAGGCAGTGAGGAAGGCAATCATTAAACAGAAAGAAAAATAAAGAGCAGCCACCATTCAACAAATATTTACAATGGCTAGTTTACTAGCCACTATTGCTGGTGTTGGCCTGGGATAGAGGACAAAATCAGGCCTTGCCTAGCCTCTCTAACTACCATTCCAGAAGGGAGAGGCTCTAGGTGGACCTCACTGAGCAAGAGGAACATATGTTAGTAGAAGAGTATGGATGAGTCTGAAATGTAGAAGCCTTGATGCTGGCTTGTATACAGGAAACACTGAATATTGGCATCTTTACTGATTTTCTCTTTCTAAAAGTATTTATTTGTTGACAATTTCATATTCACATATAGTATTGGTCATGTCCTCCCCATGCCCCTCTTATAACCTCCTCCCATGTACTTTGGTCTCCTTCACAACAAGACTGGTGCTACCTTCATGGTTTGTTAAAGGCTCCACTGACTTTAATTGGGATTGCCTGAGTGAACAGGAGTGGTGGGGGGTGGGTGGGAGGAGTATTTACTGAAGCATGGGTAACCTTACCAGAAGCTGTAACTCTAAGAAAATGACTCTCTCTTCCCCAAGCACCATTAACTCCAATAGTTAATCAAGAAGAAGTGAGATTTCATGAACCTCTCCCTAATCCATACTGGAATGTTGAGAAGCTTGGTTTGTTCAGGTCAACAGAGCTGCTGTGAGCCCATGGCCACAATGGCCATGTCCATTCAGGAGACAGTGTTTCACTGCACTCCTACTGATCCTCCAGCTCTTATGCCCTTCTGTCACCTCTGTGATGTACTCTGAGCTTTATGTGTTGGGGTGGAGAGGGGTAACATAGCAGAGTAAAATTCCACTGTGTCCACGAACCACTTTTTCATTATCCAGGCATCAGTCCATGGACATATAGGCAGATTCCATTTTCTAGCTGTTGAAAATAGAGCTGCAGTGAGCATGAGTACACAAGTATCTCTGCCGTAGGAAGTCAAGTCCTTTGAGTATATATTGACAGCAGGATGTCTAGGCCTGCTTAAGGTATAAACCTTAGCAAAAGTAGGATCAAGAAGATATTCACTCAGTTTTACTCAGACTATATTAGAGCCATTATAGAATGTTTCTTGAGTTCCAAGAGCCCTTTTTCCTAAAATGAAAACACGTTAAACTTATAAACTTTGCATTGATGGTGAAGAAAGGGAGATGGGTTTGCTTCCTGTTTGGCATCCTATTATTATTCACTAATGCAATATGTGTCCTGAAGCCTGTATTTTCTGTTTCTGTGTGTCACATGAATCAGAGACCAGGCACACAGAAAACAAAAGGGAAACATTATTTTTGCTTCACAGAAAAGTTTTATTGATGCAATGTTGTACATACTGTTTTTGAGGAGATTTATTTGGCACATAGTAGGTATTCAGCAAATATGTGTTGAATAAATTGTTTTCTTTGAGAAACTCTATACTGGTATTGTTTTAGCTATTCACATTATTTCAGAACTGTTGGACTGGAGTCAATATAATGCTTACCATGCAAGCATGAGGACCTGAGCTCAATCCCCAAACTCCACATAGAAAGCTAGATGTTGTGACACACGTGTGTTATCCCAGCAGTGGGGAGACTTGGGACTCACCAGACAAACTGGATAGTTTCAGGTCAGTGAGAGAGCCTGGAGAGAGAAAGGGAGTGAGGGAAAAAGAAGAGAGGGGGGGAGCAATGGAGGGAAGGAGAGAGGGGAGGACAGAGAGAGAGGGAGAGGAGGACAGAGGGGGAGAGAGAGAGAGGAGAGAGGGAGGGAGGGAGGGAAGGGGAGGACAGAGGGAGAAGAAAGAGAAGAGAGAAGAGAAGAGAAGAGAAGAGAAGAGAAGAGAAGAGAAGAGAAGAAAGGAAGAGAGAGAGAGGATAAGGACTTGTATATTCTCCAGTCCACACTTTTCCTGGCTTCTCACAGTTACTTCAATTTGTGTGAATTAGGAAGGTTTGTTGTGACTAAAATCCATTTCACTGGAGAGCCTTGCTACCAGAAGACACTGTTTTCTTATTGCCACAGCTTGGTTCTCAGCTAGGTGCTACCAGTAAATTCATCACAGATTTAAAAATATCATTTACTGATCAAATAGACTTTAAATGCTAGTCATACCAGGTGGTGGTGGCGCATGCCTTTGATCCCAGCACTCAGGAGGCAGAGGCAGGTGGATCTCTGTGAGTACAAAGCCAGCCTGGTCTACAGAGCGAGTTCCAGGACAGCTAGGGCCTCACAGAGAAACCCTGTCTCCAAAATCCAAAAAACAAACAAAGCCCAAAAAGACTCTAGTCACAATTTCCATGGCCTCTGAGCACAGAATAGTTCTAGTTTCCTGCATGGCAACAATATCAGACTCGGATCTCTCTTTTCTCTCATAGTTTAACATTAGTCAGCTGTGCAATAGCTGGTTGCTGTAGAAATGAATATATATACATATATATATGTATGTATATATATGTCCTGCGCTACCGTCTCGCCAGCAAAAACGACGCGGCACACTCAGGATCCTTCTGCAGTAAAGCTTCAATGCGTCTTGAGAGGGAGAGCATAAGCTTACAGAGCGGAGACCCCGAACCCCCAAAAACCCATCCCTTATATAGGCTGGCAACCGCCGCCTCGGACTGTCACCCCCTGACTGGCTGCAGCTCATCGGACCACATGATGTCACGGGAGAGGCGGAGACCAAGGGATGGAAAGTTACAAAGTTACCTAGTGCGCATGCGCACTAGCTTGTAACGGCTCCTTACATCCTGGGTAACTTTGTAATGGCTCCTTACATCTCCCCCTTTTTTATTAATTAATGATAAGGCTTTATATTTTTACAAGCAAGTAGGTCACCCATACATTGAGGGATAGAGGCAGAGGTTGTACCTCCCAAATCATACAATAAGACTGTGTACGAGAGTCGCCACTAGGCTGTTA